CCCCCCTTTTATAGGGGGAGTGTACCTTTGTAGGCTCAATATGAGCTTGGCCCATAATGTTGGGCTTGGACGTCTTAGTGTGCTTATCTTCCAAAATGTATCCGCTTTATCTATTAAACCAGGTCCAGTATAATATCCTATATCATATACCTAAAAATTAATTAACCGTTATTAATGTTTCAATAATGGTAATTAAGATAGTAAGTCAAATTAATTATCCACTTACCAAAAAAATTGGAACTAAAAGGTAAAGTTACTCCCCACCGCCTCACACGTATCCCGTCATCTTCCCAAACCGCTCACCACTTTCGCCGACTTCGAATTTCAATGGCAAACACCAAGATCCCTCCTCCTCAACAAAAAAAAAAAGCCGGCAGATGGTGGCGACGTTTCACTAGTTACAAGATCTAGTTCCGACTCCGTAAAATCCTCCCAAAAAATCAACCGAAACTCGTTCAAAATAAATTAATTTTCGAGAAAAAATTGAAACCTAAGCCTAGTCATCGCAGGGTTTCCGGCAATGTCCAGGTTCTCCTCCCGTTGCAGGTAACGGTGAATTATATCCATTTGATTTTTTTTTCATATTTTTTTCTTGATTAATCTCGGTGGATTATTGAAGGCCCTTTAGCGAGGATGAGTTGAGGAACAATGCGCTGCAGGTGGTGATGTGGAGAGGAATTTGTCATTCAGCTTAGGAAATGAAAAGAATTGCTTTATGGGGTTACGCTTTGATAGTTAAAGAAATTCGTTGCTCTAGGGTTCATATTTTTAGTGAATTAAGTGTGTGTCATGCTTCGGGTTTTTTTCACTTTCTGTAGTTTAATTTTTGTACGAATTAATTTGTAGTTGTTTGTTTTATGCTTATTTTAAGGTGTTTGGACCGAGTGCCAGAGGATCTTTATATTAGTTGTATATGTAGTATATGTTCAGTATATGTGCAGTATATGTTGTGGATGAAAAACTTCTCAAAGGATAATTGTTTGAATACTTGATGTGCTTGATTCGTATATAAATAGTTTTCATTTTGTATAAGTTGCAGATATATGTTGTGCATATATAGAGTATATGTTCTTCATAATATCAGTGCTACCTTATATGTATGTATGGTTTATATTGACAAAGCATAAAACTGATGATTTGTTTTTTTTTTTT